TCCAAGTATCACCGACGCCAAGCAATTAGTAATCATGACTCATGGGTTTCGGCCACGTAAGCTGAAACCAACACTAAGACTAATTAAGTAAGCCAAGACATTCTTAAATGCAAACCCATGTTATCTGAAAAGATATAAATACTCCCCCTTTCCGTCGCCTTCCCCGTTCCATGTCGATTATCTTGTATCCTTCCCCTTCACTGTATAATCTCTTTATTATTATTAAATACTTTTAAACCTCTCTTCCTTTGTCTTTGTATAACTAGTAGGTATCTCCGGATATTATTGCTATAATATATTCCTAGCCACGTTCCTGACACTTTCAAATGATCCACAAGACCTAAGGGCTGAAGCATCCTTCAAGCGCTCTTTAAAAGAGGCATTTATTTTCAACAGTAATTATCATGCAGATTTACTTGAAAGTATAAATAAAAAGGGTAAAATTATCTCAAGCCAGTCACAATCACAACCACAACTACAACCACCACAACTTGCAGAGGTAAGGAATTTTGCACTTCTTTAAGTGTTCACTCTTTACTTATTTATACATTGTAGATCCAAGAAGAAGATGGGCTATTGTTACAAGGATTGGAAAGGTCTGTGGGTGCAATTATCAAAACCTCAGCTATCTCACTCTATCCTAATTATTATCAAGATAATACATTGAAGCCATCTATTACGTAAGTAAATTATCATGTAATATCTTTAAAGGAAGACACAGCGCTAACTCATACTTTACGTGTTAGGCTTGGTTTAAACAGTATTTTGGATTTGTCGTATAATTACTCGGAAGCTCAGTCAGTGTTATTCACTCCTGATCAGTGGAGAAAGATGAGAACTTCACTTGCAAGAAAGGGGAATGCAAGGTGACTTGCTATGAAATCAAAAGTCGAAAAGATGCTGTGTAGAGCAGAGCCGTTAGCCGAAAATGATATCATTAAGGCTAGTGATTACATCTACAAGTACTTATATAAAAAAAAGCAAGTTAACACAAGACGAAGCTTTCACTGTGTTTGCCCATGCTTTTATTACCGAAGTTATTGCTCATAATCAATACATGTTTGTCAAAAATATTAAAAAAATGAGCAAGACTTTATTGTCAAATTCTGGGGGCCACTGTTGGAAAAGCTTGTTCAAAACACGGGTTTACGATTGAGATAAGGCGAAAGCTCATGCTCAATGTTGCCAAGCCGCCTGAGGGCTGACGTTCGCGTCATTTACGATAGACAAGAAGGACAACAGCACCAGGAGTACGACATGATGAAAATGGAAGCTAGTCGAATGCATCCTCCGAAGCAAAAGTTCGACTTCGACCATACAAAATTGCTAGTAGAAACCAAAGATATCATTGACTCGCTGGAAAGTGACATCAAGAGGGAAATGAGTTGTTTTCCATTCTGTGGGTTAGAAATTTTTAAATATAGCCTTAATCATGAATTCAACACCATCTATGTCAACAACCAGGTTGATTACCACATCATTCCCTCTGATGTCACAAATTTCCAATTCATGAGATCTCTTTGCGTTACCTTGGTAGCTACCCGAGATGAATGGATGAGTTGTAGAAACCTTAGTATGAATGCAAAGGTCAATGCGAATGTTTCGTATCCAAGCTCGAGCATCAAGAAATTAAATGAGTCAGATGAATTAAAGAAAAGCCCATCGTGGTACCCTCCCCGACCCAACCAAAGAACATCTCCTTTGATGGCCATCCCCGTCAATTTACATTGAAAAATGGATTTTCTTTATTTCTATGATTTTTTTAAAGTCAAGGGGTTTTTTTTATTTTTATTTCCAAGTATTAAATTATCATTGTTCGTATAAAAAAATTCTGATATGTGTTTTCTATCTAATGATTTGAATTACTGTGATGAAACAAAAAAGAACATGACTTTTATTCCATGTAATTAAACAGTGCTCGTAAACAATAAGGAGTTGAACAAAACCCGATATGCACTTATTGGCAACAGAAAAAAAAATCATTATTGGACAAGCTTCAAATATGTGATACTATAAAAAAGAAAAAATGGAATATAGACCAAGTGTTGGAGCCAATAATAATATGATTGATTGTTACGCAGGATAGGATACTTCTTATAAAAACTCTTCTTTTTTTTTGTAATAAATGATCTTCTATTTTTTTTTGGTGTGTTTGTGGTGTGGCGACACCCAATTCCTCTCCTACCCATCGCTTTAAAGAGATTCCGCAATATCTTACCCCTCGTGCGTCTTCACCAATGGGATATTGCCGACTTTTTAATAGTGAAGGGCGACAAAGATATCATTCTTGTTGTCGTTGACAGCCTCCGTCAAGCACAGAAAACCATGTATAAACTTCGCTCTTCATTATTACCTGCTAACCTTCAGCCAGAAAATAACCTCAGATGTTTTTGTCTCTTGCAAAATGGCAATTTGCTACTTGCGCATGCACAAATCTGTGCTTCAACGTGTTTTTTTAAAAAACATTATGTGTGTATCTTTTATAATACATGCTTATCTGTAGTTGTATTTTACTTTTTTAAATTCTCATCATCAAAGTAATAGACTAAAATATTTTGTTTTCTCTACATACGAGCATATGCGCCACAGTCATCATAGGAAGTATTAGAGGGTCGAGTGGAAACATTTTATATCATCATCCGGTTTATTTCTCTTTTTTTTTCTCTCTCTCTTTTTTATAAATTAACACCGTAAACCTTAATCGTGGTAAACTTCAATTTAGACCGAAACCTCCGGTCCCGGTCCAATTTTAGCTAATTACCTCTACCAGAGGTTCAGGTAACATTTAGACTTGGACCGCAAAATCAAAAAAACGTAGATGACATAAGAATTGTAAAAAATTGTTATATAAAGATAGCAACCCCGGACGAAATTCGGACCGATAATTGCAAGAACGCTACCAGACGTAACAAAAACGAACTCTTTTTAACGGTACTACTGTGGTCCCAAAAAAACGGTGTTCTCATTGACTTATTGATGTTTTAGTGTCATACACTAGGTGCACTACATCAGTACCCCTGACGAAACATCGAAAAGAATTTCTAAAAATAGCTAAAAATGTGGCATTTCAAAAATGTATAAAATGACCCCCCTTGGATTGGCTGAAATGTTGTTACACACGTTTAAAGTCGAAAATTCCGATTTTAAGCAGGGAAATGAAATTTAAATCATTTTTAAAATAGATTTTAGAATTAACTTTAAAAATCCGACTAAGTTACACTCTGCGCCTTAAAACGGGCTTTCGAATGATACTAGTTTCAACGCCGTTGGCCAATAATTGATTGGCTGAGAATGTTTTTAAAAATTCAAAAATGGACAAAATATTTCAAACGCCGCTTTTAACTTTGTTTGCTTTTTTGGAGCAAAATAACTTTTTAAAAAAAAACTTTTTTTTAGGTCTTGCTGAGCTGTGATTGGCTTAAAAATTACAACCGTTCAGTCGTTTTGGTCTTTAGGTAGTGTATATTAGGCTCTAGCAATGAGATAGTAGACAGAATGCTGTTATAAAACTTTAATTTAGGAATAATTGCAGAATGATATTATGATGCTTCTTTCGGCTATTATGAATCTTTACAGCGGCAATTTAATCAATTAGTGTACGTATAGTAGCAAACGTTTTAGGTAACAAATGCTAGACATAATGGTTCTTATTTGTTTAAAATAGCCAAGTCCGGTACAAAAAATCGAAAAAGTACGAGGTAAGGGCTGCAATTCAAAATATAATTACTTGGGCATATGTGACAGACCTTACCGATTAATGAACTGGAACCTCGGAATTGTCTCTTCCAATTTTTAAGTCAAAAAGCAAATGCTAAGTATGCACCCTAAGAAATAAACAGTTTAGTCTTTGAAAAATGACAGGAAAAAGACATTATCGGACATTATTTTGTTATGAAGCTTCTCAGAGCAACAGGCTGTTTTTGTATCCTTTGTTCATACGTTTGGACGTGTCTCCTATTATATTTAAAATCAAAACTTAAGAATTCGCCTCAAGCCGAAATAAATAAACTAAATATTTGCTAGAAATACTGTCAAAATAACATTAAGGGGATACAACTTTTTTTTGAGGAACTTTAAAGTGATGGCGTTTTTTTAGTTCTGTTATAAACGTTTTTCTACGTGTCATGAGTTAATTAAAAGTCAAAATCGCATCAAATGAGCTTTAGCTGAAAGAAATAAACTCAATAATTGAGGAAATACATGGCAAATGACGATTGTCTTAAAGGAAACACTGTTTAAGTAACTTTAAAATGCGGGATTCTATAGGTCAATTAAGCATGAACTTGGACGTGTTTCATGTTTCTTCAAGTTGATATCTTACTAACTGACCTCGAGCCAAAAACAAATTTCACTTTACGAGTGCAAGAACTTTAAAAGAACACATATATTAAAAACCAGTAATATAAGGAAAAAAAAGTACAGATATTTAAAGTCAAATTAAATACAGATTAATAACGCTTGCAATAAGAAATTTTAGATATGAAGACAATCAAAAGTTTAGATATAACATAATCAATTCCATAATACATAGGGCATAAGAAAAAATATATTATAAAATAAAAATGAAAGGGAAAATACATAGAGACAAAAAAAGGTGGCAAATAAAAATAACAAAAGAAAACAAAAAGGCATAAATAAAAGTATAAAAATAATAAAGGTACAAAGTAAAATGAGGAATATAAGTAAACAATGGGGAAAAAAGACTTAAACTAAAAAAAATTCATCGTAAGAGAAGGAAACATAGAGAGATATAACAACATACAAGAACATAGTGGCATATAAAAGGAAGGTCGCATAGTAAAGGACAGTGGCATAGTTAAGGACGGTGGCATACTAAAGGAAGGTAGCATAGCGAAGGACAGTGGCATATAAAAGGAAGGTGGCATAGTAAAGGACGGTGACATATTAAAGGAAGGTGGCATAGGTGAAGTTGTGGAATAACTTCAAGATAGTGACATAATTAGCGCTGTAATGGGTGAGAGGAATGGTAATAAAATTATTTAAATCAAACGGCCATTTCGTCTATGATTTCGCGCGCGGACACGGGGAATGGTTCTACCACCAACACGACTACCATGAATTTCAGTGACCCGACGATAGACACGAGGAAAACTTGGGTCCTCAAACTTGTGATCATAGGCATAGTCTTGAAGAAACTGGAACATCTCCCGGGAAACGTCACCCATTGGTTCTAAGAACCAAGATACTTTTCGCGTCGCAATAGTTGTTGAAGATGTACGCCTAAACATCTTAGTAGGACACGACATGGGCACATATTCGAGAATATACACCGATGCCGCCAGAAGGATACAATGTAAGTGTTTGAGAGACCTCGAACTGATATCAGCATGCAGAAAAAGCTCCAAGAAAACAGAGCGGGAACCAAATGCTTTCCATGATCTATCCATACGATCATCCGTCACCAAAGATTGAACCCAGGCCCGTTCACGGTGCTCTTGTTCGACATAAGGAGCAAAAACGCAACACGCCTCAGAAAGTCCATTTTGACCGTGAGATCCAGCGCATCCCGAAGTTCAGGGTCGAACATGGATTGGTCACCACCGAACGAAAGATTTTCGATGTTGCACCCGGTGTGGCCACCTCCAACCATAGAAAAATACTCCTCAAAAAAGACTTCCAGGAAACGGACAGCGGATTCGGGCCCAAGACCAAAACGATGAAATATTTGACGGGTTTTTTCAGCGTATCTGACGGTGTCAGCATTGCCAACGTCAAACATTGGGATAGCTTGGTTGGTCAACCAAGTTCCAGGAACACGATGCCTGCTAAGTGGGGTTTTGGAAAAGCGCAGACAAGGAGCGAAGGTCAAGGGACCCAGAGAAACGGTGTAGCTTACCGTGTTGTTAAGTGCCACGTCATGAGCCAAGTGCACATTTTCCGGATTAATTTCATTAGCGGCAGCCATACGGTCTATTTCGTTGACTAAACGGTCACCATCTACCACCAAAGTTCTGACAAAAGACAAACCGGGAAACATATCCGCCATTCTGGTCGAATCAAAAGCATCGATGAAACGCCACTCGTTAAGATCAAACACGAAATGGTAACTCATAAAAAACAGGTAGTTTTTTTTACAGCGATGAGTCTTGACAAAGTTGTTGCAACAAGTAGATCCCTTATCGGCCGGATGCATGAGGCTGTTCAACAGAAAAACGCAGAACGCAAAGCCAGACACAGCAGGTAATTGCACATCCCGGCTTAACGAGACCATCATCTCCGAGGTGACATTCAGCAACTCGCGGACATAGGCGAGATACTCGTCGACAAAGAAATGGATAAACGCACCGTTCGATTGAAGGCGGCTTCAAATAAAAAGAAAATGTTAGATTGTATACATAGATATAATGTCAATGATAAAAAGAACTTACTGCAGCCCATCCATTAATTTGCGAACGAGTATGTCGCACACATCCGCCGCACTCACACGAACTCCTAAACGAGAGGTGAACTGAGTTTCCTGATGCTCATGCAGGCAACGTTCGTAAAAGTTCTGTTTAGAGAAGAATGAAAAAAGTTAGGCAAAGACAATACAAATAATACTACATAAACACTTACCAGCCCTTGTCTCCAATGGCCAGTTGCATGGTTGATGGTTGCCCGAGACTTTGGCGGGGACCAATCCTCACCGACGTAACCGTTGAAGCCTTGCCTGGCTCTGGTGAACCGGATCTTGACATCATTGTACATAATCATCTTCCAGGCTTCATTAATGGCTGGAGCAGGGTTCTTGCCTGACATGCCACCGAAACGGCCAAGGCTCATATCTTGACACTCCGAAACGGTATTTATCGCCACCAAAAAGTTCACCAGTTACCGAACAGAACTCTTCTTTTAAAAAACTGATGATTGGACGGTTATCATCATCAGAGACCGCAAAAATGTTCAACCCAATGTCCACCCTAGTTTGGACGGCAGCCAACTGATTCCTGTCAATCATATTACTGAGAATTGCCGTATGACTGAATCTACGCAGAGGAGCCTTAAACCCAAACGCGGAAAGGACAAACCGGAAATGACGGAACATCGCCAAAGATTGCTTTTCCCGAACCATATCACGCATGATGTCAACGATATCGGAAAGCTCCTCCGTCCATAAAGTAAGAGACAAGGCATTGTGGACACCACGAGCAGCTGATTGTTCGTATGAACTACCACAGCGGTTGTATGCTGAGGGGACGCGATCTTTGGACACCTTTACAGCGGGAAGAAAAAGTTCGTTCGCGAACTTGGCCTGGTGAAACGAGTCAAGTACGGAGGCATCAGAGTCCATTTCCACACCAAGCTCCTTCATGTTTGGAAATATGATATGGATTTCCAGATGGCATTGGCCATCCATCGTAAAAAGTAACGTGTGATGGTAGTCCTTAACAGGCATCTTGAAGTTGTGATGCTCATACGTGCCGTAATCCAAACGAGTGATACGAGTACTAAAGGGAGGGCTCAGGTAAAAGCGCACACGGTTATCCGGGAGCAAGGGAATGTCACGCAAGCCGTAGGTGATGAAGGCATCGACAATAGGGTATAAGGGGATAATTGGGGGTTGGGGTTGATGTGTTGCTATGAAAAGAGAGTGTTGGCATAGGAATAGGGTGAGAAACGTACAAGTGGGATCAGCAGGGAGGACTTTACGTGTATAATAATTTGGATATCAATGATATCATCGGGTCGTGTGCTATTCTACACAATGCACGAACGGCAAGAGGGGAGCTAGGTTTTGATGGTGTGTTTTTGAGCCTACTGGTCTAGTAGTTGGAGAGCAGGGTGATACATGTGTTATAAGTAACCGAGCCCGCTTGCGCATTTTAATGCAGCTTTTCCTAAATTTTTTTGAAAAATAAAACAAATTTATTATTGAAGAAAAAACCCCATTATATTTTAGTCGATGTTATGAGGTTTATATTCATCGGACGAAGGATAAGTGATATCAAGCAAGTCTGACTAACAGGAGAAACCGTCGTGACCTTGCCATCGATTGTCATGTCATTGGCAGAGGGGGTGGAGGCAGTGTTGTATGGGAGGATGCTGTTGGGAAGGGTGCTGCTGACGACGATGTTGCTGGTGTTGGTATTGTTGGCGTCGGTTTTGTTATACGCGCTGGTTTTGCTGGGAGAATGACTGTTGAACTGATAGTCATTGGCGTCAGGAATACCATTGACATCTGGGCGGAAGTAGTGGCTGGTGTTGTTGGTGTAATTGTAGTCACCGTTTTCAACGGGATTGTAGCTCGTGGCGTTGTTGTTGCTTGAGCCAAAATCCCGTTTCATTACCATCAGCATCTCGCGCTTATATTCAGAGTGTCCTGCAATCTACTCACCAATGCGAGACTGCACCTGGTCCCGTTTCTCCATGGACTCCAACATGTGACCGAAAAACGTTGTCGAACGAGCAACATATTTAGTGAACTTTCTACGCTCCGGTTCTCCATGCTCCAGACGACGTGCCTCAATCTCATTCATAGAGGTGACCAGATACTCGATCGTTTGGTCGACCGCTCTACTTTAAATGGCAGCCCCACGAGCCACACCCTTCTCTGCACCATCGTTTTTGATGGCTCTTACTCGTCTAGCACTGCAACGTCACCACAATTATCTATCGTCTCTCCAGAAAGAGAGGTATACACAGTAGTTGGCATCTCACTGTTGGGATTTCCATCGCATAATGGTAATCCCAGTTTTCAATCGGTGCCATACCAGTTGGATTCAACCTATCATTGCGATGTCTGAAGGCAGCACAGAGAGCCGCCACTTAGAATTTAATGGCCTCGAAGGTCTGCTTCCATTGGTGCCGTTTTTGGTCTTGAATAAGTGCAACATGCACGGTACAACTCATTTAGTTCAGCTAGCGTACGATTGGACTCCAACCGCTTGTTGTAATCAGCATACAATTCAATAAGGGCAAAGGTGCTAGCTGAATTCCCTTTTGAGTGCGTGTATCTGGTATCCGAAACTTAATAGTCGCAGCAGCCTCCGTGGCATAAGCAGTGGCAGTAGCAGGTGCAGCCGGGGAAACGGCGGCAGCAGCAGGAACGACGAAAGGAACCTGCTGTTTTTCTGAAACAGTAGTATCATTCGACGGTTGCTACCATAGGCTACACGATTTGGTGTCACTTCAATAAATTGGTGATTGATAGGGTTGTTGTTGTTGTTTTGATTGTTCATTTTAAAAAATTTAAGGTAAGGAAACAGTAATAAAATTTATTTTGTATTTTGGCTTTTAGTAGTCCATTTTAGGACCGTTTATTTCTGGAGGCTTCACATTCGATGCCCACAGATTTTTCATTTTTAAGCAGCAGATTAATAATAAAAAAATATAGCAACATTATTTTTGACAGGATTCAAATTAGGAAAAAAATATTGATAAAAAAACATTTTTTTAAAAAAAAACCGGAGCTTGTCCATATTAGTACATCTCCTATATAAGATCTCAATCTATTTCGTTTCATTTCGGCAGCCTAAATCATACAAATCTGAGAATTCTGGTCCGTTATCTGTCAAGATCCAATAGGTTTGCGTACTCTGGTCCGTTATCCCTCAAAATCCGTTGATTTCAGGGTACTCCGGCCCGTTATCCCTGAAAATCCGTTGAATTCAGGATACTCCGGTCCGTTATCCCTACAGATCCGATACTTAAGGGTTTCCTGATTACATTAAACTAATGACCAAAATAGATTATAAGAAATTAGAACGGTTCCGAAATGGTTCAAGCATTCTAAACTAGTATGGGGATGATCTGAGCTAATTTCACATATAAGGTAAGTTGCAAATCATATCAGAACATCCTTAAACGTGAGTTCAATTTCAAAAACAGATATACAGCGCCCTCCAATTTATCCTAAGCGTTTGAGGTTTTCGTATTTTGTAAGGACATCACATACTGATATCATACCGACACTTTGCGATCATTTTTATTTATTGTCTTTTGTTATTATTAAGTTATTGATCCGGTTAAAAGCTCTTCATGAAAATTGTATAAGTTATTATCTTTTATAAAGAAGTGAAACCATTTTTTCCATAACCTTTAATGAAACATTTTTGAGTCTACAGCATATTTCTTTAGTCCAATGCTGCTTTAATGTCATCAGTTTTTTGGAGACTGGTCTAGTATAGGTGTATTTAGCAACCCCGGACAAAACTAGGATCGACAAATAAAAGAACACTATCCGACGTAAAAACATGAGCTCTTTTTAATGGTTCTACTTTTGTCTCAAAGAACGGTGATACCATTGGCTTATTTACGTTATAGTGTCATACACTAGGTGCACTGCAATATTCTTGCCTCTGAAAGCCCAGCATTGCCGGACATAGCAACCCCGAATGAAAGTTAGAACGACATAAAGTTATATCGAATGCCTTCGTGACTTGCTAATGGCATATTTTTGGGCAAAGCTGATTATTCGGTTTTATGATTTTTATGGGTCCGACGTTATATGAATAGAGTGTAATGTTAGACTCATCGTTTAGATATACGTTTACTAACGTGTAATAATCCAGTTTGAAGGATAATCGACACGAACATTTCTGAGCAACGACAATTTTTTCTATATAGGGTTATAGGAATTAATAAATAAATTCCAGTTAATGAGCTTTCCATTAGCCGTACGGTAACCTTTGGCGAGAAAGATGAGATTGTATCTCCCATCATTAGCATTAAATTATCATCTTGATACCGGAATATTTGAACGGATGACCCTATGTTGGAAATATTTTTCAAATTGCATAAGATAGTTCGCTTGTTTCTGATGTCTCATTAAAGGACAATTGGCAAATGTCAAGAGCGGAAAGGCGGAGAGGACAGACCGAAAAAGACTTGCTTACACAAACCGAGTAATTAAAGATACTTTGTTTATTATAAGAAAGAGAGAGTAAGTGAGAGAGAGTGTATAAGAAGAATGGATGTGAGACGGCCATAAAATTATATACCTGATGAAGGGAGAAGAACGAAAAGGGAAAGCCCGGTTATATTCATAGTAACAGGATTGCATATTGATTTAGCTTGAAAAAAGGCAATGACGAAGTTTAGTAAGTCATTACTTACTTACGAATAATATTTGATGATTGATGGCTGGCCTGCAGATGAACAGTTGCCGGCAAAAAATTAATTAAATTAATGCATCTACATGAAACGATTATGACAGCGAGCATGATAGAAAAACCCCCTTCGTAGTAACTTTTGCCGGTACCAGAAATCTTTGTCATCTGGATATGTATATCGCTTTATGATTTACATTTTAGTTCGTTCCAGCTGTCATATCTTATTTAGGTCCAGAAAAGCTTATAAAAAAACTGGTTTTGACTATTATACTTTGCACAAATGGGTCTTTGCAATGACTTTAGAAGTATCTAACTTATTGAAATTATTTTTTTGGTTTTTATTTGGTACTATTACTAGGTTTCCAACTTTATTAACAGTTGTCCCATCTTTAAACCATTTCTGTTTATTCAATTAATTTAAGTAACTCCATCGCCTAAGGCTAAGAAATCATTTTAAGTTATGCACATTTTACAAAATAGACTAGTTTCATAATTTTAAATTTATTACAAAAAAGAAAACTGTAAACAAACTAACAATCCTGACTTGGAAATATATTAGTCATAGAGAGAAGAACTTCATAGGGAAAAATATTTAAATATAAGGCCTAATAAAATGGCACTGAAAATGATTAATGACATAAAATTAAAAAAGGCATAGACGAATGTAAAATATCAAAATAGTGATAAATATCAAAATAGCTTAAACTACTATATTTTGGTCATTTACCGATTGCAACAATTTTTTTACGGCGCTTAACGCGTGTAAGACGATTAGGTTCTGATACTGATGTATTTGAGTCCTCATTTAGCTTTCTGAAATTAGCACTGATGTAAGGAAGAGGATTGGAACCAAGTAATTCACAGACAGATTGGTTATCACCGAAATATTTACGAAGGAAGTTGAATAAAGATATGTTCTATTCCTCAAATACTACCTCAAATCGAGATGCTTTACGAACAAAAAAACACATTCCTGTCATTTATATATTCTACACTTTATCGAGACTGGCAGATATTTACAAGCAAGAAGACACTGAACCATTAACAAGGAATGAAAATGAGATAGGACGTCTTAACTGATTAATGGGTTTGCAAATAACTCCAGATACCAGGCCCTGGTTCCAAAAGACTTCCAGTTTAAGTCTATACCTTTTCCATCCAAGTACGCAGTCAGTTCATCCTTAATGTCCGCAGGTCTACAGCTGTCTCTATCCGGCAATGGGAGAAGACAATACATTCGCTCTGTAATACACATTGGTTCAGCCACTCGCTTAGCATCAAAGTTGGAAAGAAAAGCCTTGGTTGGAACATTGGAGAAACCAAGTAGGTCAAAATAGCAATCACCATCCTTCAAAAAAGTTATATATTCGGCCCAGAATTGCTCCAAAAAATAGGCGGCAAACTTCGTCCCGAAACCGTGCTGCATTAGACCTTGATTAACATTATAAACATTTTTGACAGTTGCAATATTGGAAATATCATACAAAAATAGAGGACAATGATCAAAAGGTTTTTCGATTGGCATCACGGAGTCAGTGATCATTTCGGAATACGCCTGAAGAGTAGAACAAGTGACGGGAGCAAGAGGAAAAGCATTGAACATTGTCAAAAGTAATCCTTCTAAGGTTGTCTCGGTATTGTTGAACAAATCATAAAAAGCTTCCGGCACGTTGGTACCTCTTACGTAACCGTCCTGGAATCTACTCGACATGAATTGTTCGGTGGAATCAAAATTAACTGCACCGGGAAATGCCTGTTGAATACGAGTAGAATGGAAAGTATGCCCAAACATGACTCTGTCGCCATCGACGGCAAACGCACCAGGGAAAAACAGCACCTACTTTTATCATATCTGCTGATGATACGAAATTGGCAGCGTTGGTTGAAGTTCAATCAGAATGCATCACGTTGTTGGGCATGTAGGTCAAGACATATAACCCGGAGAACGACTGCGACAGAACGGAACCAAGACATTTTTCGGCCAAGTCACTTAAAAGATTTACCAAGAGACCAACGTAATGAAGTTAAATACCCGAATCAATGTGGATGAACGCTTCACCAGCAAAAGCAGACCTATCATTAAAAGCAGCATAATTAATAGAGTATCTAAAATGAATTACCTATAGAAAAACGTACTTCAACTTTGCGAATAAGACGTCGACGTAAGCCGTAGTGGCTAAGATCGCGGGGAAACAAACCTCCAAACGAGTAGTGAACTGGTGTCTTCGGTATTCGGAAACACGGGCATTACCCCATCTCTATTACAATTTTTGAAGGAAATATATGGAAAAAATTTCTATTAAATGTATTGCATACCATGTTCTTTAAATGATGACCTTCTTGATGACGAAAAGTATTTCTCATTTTCTCGGGTATCCATGGACCGGACACCTTTTCGTCTACACCAAGATGGGACATCGAAAAACGGATACTGGATATCGTTATATATCATAACTTTCGAAGGCGTAAGAAGACTACCGGACCGACCTTTCCCCGAGAAGCCACCATAAGAATCCAAAGACATTCCATAATCATCTGTCTTTATGGATGGATCACCAAAACGTTTTCCCATACTTTCGACTTTTTCCTCTTTAACGTACGATACCAATGGTCGGCCATCCTCGGATTCGGCAAATAGATTCAGGTCAATATCTACAAGGCAACTTTGAGGGTCAAGTTGGGGCCAGTCGACCATGGTATCAAGAATAGACGTGTAATACGGACCGCACATTGCGCTTTTTCCCCGAAAGAAAAAATCACAAAAACAAAATGGCCATATGCGGCCAAATCGGGACTTTCCTTGGCAATATCACGCATAGACTTGACTAAGAGCCTAAGCTCCGAACCAAGCAAACATTTTGGCACCGTCATATGAAATTCAGTACCAATGGCTTTGCCATAAGAGCCACCAGATCGATTTGCACGAGGACAAATCAAAACACGTCGAATGGCAGGAATTAGAAGGCGGTCAGTGAAAGTTTTTTGCGCGGCGGTACCAAACATTCTTCTTGAATTCTTCACACCAAGCTTCATTTTCTTCATGCTGGGGAAGAGGACATGAATGTGCATGTATGCTTCCGAAAAGGCCTCCAAAAGCAAAGTGTGCGGATAATTCTTGACAGAGTCCCTCTCACCACAAAACGTGAAGTAACCGAAGTCCAGACGAGTCAATGCTTGCTTCCAATCGGGGCTTAAAGACAGTTTCAAACGAGTTTTCGGCATGATTGGCAGCTCCTTCAATGGCTACGAAATAAAAGCATCGATGTTGACTTCGCAAAGGGTAGGACTATCACAATCAGTCTCCAAATCGACAATACGTTTTCTTAACACTGCCTACAGTACCCCAGGAATGCATCCCTCAGTAATATATTTGTAACATTTTTAAAGACGTCTTTAGAAATAGCAGATTTTCAATATGATGATGTAACTTGATACGGAGAACAATATTAGGCTCGGAATTTTTGTTTCGATTCTGATCCAGACGAGGATATATACAATGTAACAAAGTAATATAAAACCAAAAACGCTTATACTCAAGGCGTTTTTTTACATAGTATGAAGTAAATTTCTAAGCTGAAAAACTTTAAACTGAGATATTTTGCTCTAAAAGCAAATGCCACCGGATACTGGTCAATCTTTGCTAAAGATATAATGTCACAAATTGTTACAAAAACAAAAATGGCCGTACCAAAGCTGCAATTACAGATTTTTGAACGTAACTGAACGCGCTGAACAACATTAGACTGATATTTTGCTCTTAAATCAGATCCCGAAGAAATAAGGATCAATGTTTGCAAAATATACAATGTTAAAAATCGTAAAAAATAAAAAACATCTTATACCGAAGCCAAATTTTCAAAAAAAATATGACGTAAATTTAAACGTACACGAACATTAAGCTGCGACATTTTGTTCTTAAATGTAATCCCAACGATACATTGATCATTTTGATTTTGACTATTTGTTATATTGACAGACAACAAAATCAAAGTACCCCGCCATCTAAGTTATCGAATGTTTACCAATTAAAAATTACAGTACATACTTTAAGCTGTACATACCAAAGACTAATCGAAATATATATAAGGTGATCAAGTATTTACAAAGTAGTGGTAACATTATTGAAAACACCACATCACGTAAAACATAACGGTTTGGAACAAGAAAAGTAGTAAAATAATCTTGAAATAGTTTTAGCAAACGGTAGAGACTGTTGGCATTAAACATTAGAGAAACTAAAGATGAATTGATGTGATATTCACGAAAGTACCTTAAGAATAAACAAAAAAAATTAAAGTTTCGTTTAATAATGTTATCTCACACATTTTTGGAGCAATCAATATTATGCAGATAGTTAAATGAACGTCTCCCAATCTGTTCTTTAAAGAATTGAAAATAAATACAAGAGAGCCAAGTACATAAACCCAAAAATACTTATTGAAAAATACGTAAACTTGGACTGACACAGTAATTGGCATTGTTATAACAGTTCTAGTATTATAAAAGGTGTTCAACTAGGAATTACGAAGAAAGTAGAACAATAAACGCCCAGATAATCAGATTTTTGGCAAACAAATCCGAAAGTTACAGAACAATTGTTCTTTATACCATAGGTTTAAACAAGTATTAGAAATAATTTTAGCATAGACTAGTTCGTTTCGATTTATGACATGAAGACTTTACATTCATTGCTGATAAACCAATTCCAAAATTGCTAAAGAACAATATGAATTTGGGTAAGTATATTTTTTGGGACAAATGCAATAGCTGGGAGAATACTTGGAGGGCTCATAGTACTTGCTAGGGAAACATTGAGTAACTTATACAAAAGAGTAACCAAATAATGAACAACCATTGATGAAATTATTAAAAACCACAACACTTGGCAACCCTTGAAAATGACTATCACAGAAATAACTGTAGGATAATGGAAATCTTTTTACAAGCCATAGAAACACTGCATACATTAAAAAGGAAGTAAACGGAAGAAGAATTGACGCAGTAATAAACAAAAAACTTTCTCAAGTCTATAAGAAAATAGAACATACATCCCATGAATATCCTTGAAGCCGGTTTTAAATACCCAAAAGTGTATCCTATGTTTAAATAACATTTTTTACGTTACCCTTTACTATATAAAAGAAAAATACAACGATTTCGTGCGAAGCGGAAAGAAATTGCAGAAAAAGGACGCATAAAACAGATATGCACAAATAATTATCCGAAATCGAAAAGTATTTCTAAAGACTTGGGAATTTATTTTCTAGCTATAGAATAAATCTATTGAAGCAAGGAAACATTTAAAAAAAGTCTAGCGAGAAAAATAATCAGTTTATAAATCAAAATGCGATACTATAGGAGTACAATGTTGGGATTTATTACGGATTCTATCGAAAATAAATTGTAGCAGGCTATAAAGTGAGCAGTAGCGAGATAATTAGCTAGACCAGAAGGAGATTACTCATAAGCCAAACAACTTATTGGAATTTATTAATTAAACGATCACCGAGTATAAAAATGAATATCCTCAAAGCGTGAATAATAACGAGACTCTTTCGGAATATTTCAGTCCCTCTTTTAACCAAACACAAAAATCTTATGATCATTTTGCATTTAAATGGTGGTGGAAACAATAGATACAAACCATAAACTATCAGACGATTTATTTCAGGATCTTTTAAGTACAGTGAGTGGACAAAACTGTTCGAGTGTTTAGAAAATTTCAGTCCCATCTTTGTCAACAATGTGTAAACTCCTCGAAATAATTTCAAATTTTGACAGATACCAGTGCACGCGTTGCTACACCAGCAATAGCGTTTTTGTATTTTTTGTGTCACAGGAACAGCGGATATTCTGGGTTTAAAACTGCTTATCACTCGAACAGTTATGTCCAGTGCTGAAATTTTTTAGAAAACCATAAAAATCTTTCGAAAAAACAGTCATATAAGCCCCAAAAAAATTTTTCAGACAGGTTTTGGTGGCTAGTCCACATATTATTTTTTTCTCTTTATTTTCGTAATATAAGACTTTACTCATTAAGATGACAAAAAGCATTTCTTTGACATTAAAAAACGAGATCATTAAATTACTAAACGACGGGCTTTCTTTTCGTGAAATAGCAAAAAAAGTGTCTGTTAGTTTGTCAACCATTGCAAAGATAAAAAAACAAGCTAATCTTGACATTCACAAAAAAATTGGTGGAGCACCTCGCAAGATTTCAACATCAACAGGCCGCTCATTGATTAGAGGCTTCAAAACAAATGTGAACAAGACTGTCAAGGATGCTGTTGAGGCTCTAAAAAAGGAAGAAGTGTTTGTCTGCGGAAGGACTGTTCGCCGCATGTTGAATTCGGCCGGGATGAAGGCTGAACATAAGCCTAAAGTACTGCCATTAACACCAAGCCGTAAAAAGGCGAGACTTTCTTGGGCCAAGGTCCACCAAAACTGGACTGTTGATGATTGGAAGAATGTTGTTTTTAGTGACGAAACGAAAATAAACCGTATTGGCTCTGACGGAGCTCAGTGGTTTTGGAATGCCACAGACGAAGAGATCCGAGATTGTCATCTCCAACATTTGTACAAGCATGGTGGTGGAAACATAATATTGTGGGGTTGTTTTCTCTGGGAAGGTCCTGGATACATTGTTCGTATCGATAGTACTATGGACAGCAAGTTATACTGTGATATTTTGAGCGACGATCTAACGGCCAGTGTTAGTTACTACAATCGAAGTATCAAGGATGTCGTATTTCAGCAGGATAATGACCCAAAACATACCTCGAAAATGGCAAAAAATTGGTTTCAAAACAATGACGTACGTGTGTTAGATTGGCCCTCATATTCCCCAGATCTAAATCCGATCGAGAATCTCTGGGCGATAATAAAAAAACGACTTTGCGCCTACGAAACGGCCCCAAAAAGCTTAACCGAGCTATTCGACCGGATCACCCAGGAATGGGACAAAATTGCCCCAAAGTTATGCCAAGACCTTATATTATCTATGCCAAAAAGGATTGAAGCGGTTATCAACGCCAAAGGAGGAAGAACCAAATATTAGTCGTAAAATTTTCCATTGGACAAAACTGTTCGAGTGTCCACAAAATTTTATGTAATTTTTGTTACACCAAAAATGGGCCTGAGTTTAAATAAAACCAATTTTTATTTGTAATAGTCAATTAACTATTGTACCTAATTTTGGCCGATTTTTTGGATGCTATTACGATATGGAAATAAGAGAAAATGTAGCTTTTTAAAAACACTCGAACAGTTTTGTCCACTCACTGTAAGTGTGGAGTTTCAGAAATAATTTTTTTGTAGTCTCTAAACACAATGCACATAGCAAACAGAAAAAGATACACTGCAAAACGGTTCAGCAGCTAATGAATTGAATCCGTTTTAAACTAAGTCACTCATAGAATATGAAAAAAGGACAATATCACTAAGTCTTACTTTCTACGAGACTTTTAAACGACTGCAACAATAGATGTTAAAACAGCACTTTATACAATGCCCAAAAGAGTTTGGAAACGAAATACTTCGATGGCGTGACTGTCAGAAATAAATGGACAGAGAAAGGAAATTTGAGCTAAAGATGGAAAAGTAATACTTAAAATTCGAAATGATTTATAAACATAGCAGAATAACGGTAATAACATTAAAATATTCTACCCTAGCTATTTAAGGCCCGAAAAAAAGTGTATCATAATATATTACGAAGTTCATGACAAAATTCTGACGTGAAAACCATAGGATCGTACATGAAAGGGGTAAATGCAAGAAACGAAAGGAGACCATATAAATAAAGGCCTGTACAACAGTTCGGAAATATGCTAGCGCAACCTCCTATGAAATATGGTAAAGATTAAACGACATTGAACAAAATACTAGGAACGAAATATACAATGCAATTGTTAGACGATACTTTTTTTTCGTTTCAAGGAGCTCGTCTATAAATGGTATTCGTAATAATTTTACCGTACACCAAGTACAATGAGTCTACAATAATAGAGTAGTTATGAAGTCTTTATGGGACAAATATTGAATACGGGATAATGTCTAGATTGATTGCATATAGTAAATGATATATTCTAAAGAACATCCGGTACTTACTGGCTTCTTTGCGCACAAGATTTAAAAAAAATGTTCCATTAACATTCCAAAGTGTAAATAGAAAGACTAAAACTGCGAGAATGACCTAAAACTAGTTGTTTATAACAAACACC